GTTTTCTGCCTGTCCACTGTGCTTTTTAAAATTGGGCATTGTCCCATGAATCTGCAAATTTAGCCATTCCTCTATCTTTTCCTTAACTTCATCATACACTACAGAAGTTACTTTAGCACCTCCCAGAGTGGCAGCATAGATGAGTCAACACTGTCACTCAGCCCTGAAGGAAGCTTCTCTAGCACATGAAAGGCACATGGCAGCCATTCTGTGCTGAGGATCACTAGACTTCAGCACCACACTTGAGGGCCATTTTATCACACACACACACACACACACACACACACACACACACACACAAAAACACATCAACAAAAATGCAAAGAACTCTAAATAGATTGTGAAAAGAACAGCTGTTTACAGTATGAGAGCTGAAACAAGAAGGCAAAGCCTTGTTCAACCTCAGCTGGGAACATGAGAGTTGGGTGACTCAAATTCTTCCCTTCTCTGTACCTCCGCTAATGACCGGGAAAGCACCAGGAGTACTGATTTCAGGGTTACAAATCAATTTTAGCAAGTTAACAAAGTTGCAAATATGAAATCCATGAATATTAAGGATCAAGTGGTACTTTGTTTACAGAATACCTCTAAGAACCTGTTTTGGGAAATCCTGACCTAGGTTTGTCTCTTTGATTTGAAAACTCACTACAATGGAATTCTACAATGCCATATGGCAAAGACTTTTTTGCCTGTATTTTCCAAATTTTCCTCAGTAAACTTGCAGTGCTTTGAAAGAAACTTTTTTTATTTTACTAAAATAATTCATGTGTAGATCTCTGTTCCCCATCCTGTCTTCCTACAATTTTAGAAATTCTATCGCTTTTGTGTCTCTCATATCCCAGTCCCCAGGCAGACCTCTTGGTCTCAGCAGAGTTACACAGGTGGTAGGGCTACCTGCAAACTGAAGTCTTTTCAAAATGCATGGCATCCCACAGCTCGGGAGGGCTCCAAAGGCCACACAACCTACTTCTGTCTGTTCTGAGTACAGACAGCAACTCATTTTTCTTTTCTTTTCTTTCTTTTTTTTTTTTTTTTGGAGTGGGGAGTCTTACTGTGTCGCCAAGGCTGGAGTGCAGTGGCGCCATCTCGGCTCACTGCAGCTTCCACCTACCCAGCTCAAGCGTTTCTCCTGCCTCAGCCTCCCAAGTAGCTGGGATTACTGGCGCACACCACCACGCCCAGCTAATTTTTGTATTTTTAGCAGAGACGGGGTTTCACCATGTTGGCCAGGCTGGTCTCGAACTCCTGACCTCAGGTGATTTGCCCACCTCGGCGTCCCAAAGTGCTGGGATTACAGGTGTGAGCCACTGCACCCAGCTGGCAACTCATTTTTCATATCGACCAGCAATATCCTCTGTGAACACATCTACCCAGACTGGGAAGAAGGAACCATTCAATTAAATCCCTCTGTACCCAAAGGAGGTGGAGGGGTCACAGATGAGTCATTAACATCTTAAAAGTGCTGCAGAGATGATGAAAATAATATAACTGAAATTCAAAAGAAAGTGTACTAAAGAAGAGGATATATGCAGCAGAAAGTCACACCTACAGTGTAGAGAGTGCTTCTGTGAGATGGAAATGCATCCAAACCCCAAAAGATACAGGGCATGCATCCAACATCCACAGACGAAGGGAAACAAGTAGGCAAGGTCATCGAGGGGAAATGGTCAACGCTGACGTACGGCATGGGGATTTCTCCTCGGGTAATAAGCCCAAAGAAGGAAAACATGATTTGTACAAAGAGGTCTGTGGCAGCCTTACACCTAAGAGGAAATGCCATTCACAATCTGCACGCTCAGTGGCAGAGTACGTAAGAGAAATACGTGACACGGCACATCATCGCCCAAATGGATCGTGGAAACGTCACCACAAACAATCACGAAAAGTATATGGCGACATGGAGAAACATTTATCAAACATCAGATTTTAAAAGCTGTATGACAAAAATACATCTGTGTTATGATGACAGCCACGTACATCGTTTACGCTCAATGCTATGATCTGAAAAGGCGCACGGATGAAACAGCTCATCCGTGAGGGTAGCAGGCACCACGGAGAATACATTTTTTCATCGTCTCATTTTTTCTAACTCTCCTGTTGCCCAATTCATGCAATGACTAAATGCTATTCGGTCCTCTTAAAAATATCCAGGACACACTTTTTCAAGCTGTACAATGAGTAGAAGAGAAGGGAGGGTTGCTGCCCAATTTCCTCCAGGTAAGTCTCCTACAGCATCACAGCTGGAATGCGGCATCTCGTGGAAATGCAGATTCAGTTTCAGCAGTTTGGGGGGGGGCTCCCCAGTAACGCCAGTGCTGCTGGGTTAGGGTTAGAAAGCAAAAGAGTCTACAGCACCTAAGTGACCAATATTGCCAATGTCTCCCTTCAGATTTTTTTTTTTTTTTACTGCAGCCTCAACCATAGGGATCACGACACGATGTGGACAGCACTGGGAACAGAGAGGTGGGCATAGGACACACGGCACCCTGTGCACCTGTTTGAGGCCAGGCCTTTGTTGGCTCCGGGCACAGCCTGGCTGACCCCAGGGGAGTAAGGGGATTGCTCTTAGGAAAGCACGTTGTGATTTCAAGCAAGGCAGCACCAAATCTCCCAGTGCACATCTTTCATAAAAAATCTTGCTTTCAAGATGAGTTCTACGGCTCTTTCTGGTCAGCTTTCAAAGAGGTCCTCATCTGGAATGGGGTACTCAAATCTAAGGACATGGAGACCCTGCCCACGTGCAGCGGGTCTGGTAGAGGTTTCAGAAAGAGTAGTCAGGACCCCCGGCACCAGGGTCCTTGTCAGCCTGGAACTCTGGAACTGGCAGGTGCTCCCCTTGACAGAGTTCATTTGTGAACTGATGAAAGAAAAGAGAAGTAAAGAGAAGAGAAGAGAAGAGAAGAGAAGAGAAGAGAAGAGAAGAGAAGAGGAGAGAAGAGAAGAGAAGAGAGAGAGAAAGCAGGGAAGGGAGGAAGGGAGGGAAGGAGGAAGGGAGGGTAAAACAAAACAAAACAAAAGCTATACAATCATTAACCAGTTTAAATGAACTTTTCCAGTGTCTCAGACAAGAGCATTTCCTTCAAGGACACACTCTCCTTAGGGGGAGAAGCGACCTACTTTTCCATTCAATGCCTCTTCTGGGAAGAAGAGACCTCCTCTTGATCCTCCACAATGGCTGGGGACTTCCCTCACCTCCACCTGCCCTTTTAAACAGCTACTGCCACCCAGCCATCCAATCATTCCCACTCATGTACCTCCCAGCTCTCCAACTCCAAGATCTCTGTGTTTTTACCCCAATTACCATCTGGTTAGCATGAAGCACAAAACCAGAAAATATCAGGTCTTGCTTACTCCCCACCACGCTCTAAAGATTTTTTTTTGACAAGAACTTGGCCAGCAATGCCATCTGTCACAACAAGATGCAGCGTGTCACGTGCTCTGCACAGCCCACGTCAATCTCTGAGGTGCCTTCACCACTGTTGTGGGACAAGCCCATGCCCTGCTAAAGACCAAAGAAACACTTTTAAGCTGCTTTGGCCTAAAGCCTAGACCCAGGGTCCAGAGCCTCCTGGCCTTAGGGGTGAACTCCCCCAACACCCACGAACACTGTGGGACTTCCTACGCATCCCACAGCCTCCTGTAAACACGGAATTGCTGTGAATGACACGAACACCCGCAAAGCGAAGTCAACTGACACTTAATGTTCTTCAGAGGGAACACAAGACATTAAAATACAAGTGCCGAAAATCCAAGGGTCAATATGATTCCCATTCCAAACCCAAGCTTTCAGTACACACACACACACACACACACACACACACATACACACTCTCTCTCTCTCTCTCAAATTCATGAACTCTTCTCAGAAAAAAATATTTAATAGTTAAGGCTTTAAAAAATATGACAGCAGTCTACATACTTGGCCAAATAGAAGTTACTTCACACAGGTCCAATAATCACATCTTCTTTATATATTCACTGTGAGGCTTGTTTTTTTTTTTGGAAGGCAGCTTTTCAAATGTGTTTATTAGAATGCACGCTGACTTTGCTATAATTAAAATACAGTTATGTTGACATCCACTGCCCTCATTAGCATGTGTTTCTTCCCCGAGGTTTTGTCAAACCTTCAAAAAATCCTTTTCCAAATAGTTATTCACAGCTATTTACTCACCAGGCCAAGGCCCCCGGGCTTTCAGAGACGCGTCCACTGTGAAATGCACTCTGGACCCCACCCCAGCCACCAGGCCACCCACCACTGGCCGCAGCAGTGTGTGAGCACCAGCACCCCCACGTCTTTGCCACTGCCCTGCTGGTCTGAGTACACCCCTGAGGATGGAGGTGCTCTCCCAGACACTGTCCCACCATGAGCAGACCCAGGGCAGCGGGCAAGAAATCGAACCTCTCTTCCAGGGTGGGAGGAGGGGTGTCTTCTGCGAGACACGAGTCGCCACTCAGCCCTCAACCGGCTTCACTCCTGAGTCTCAGGGGTGAGCTTAAGAGTGGCCGAACATCCACACAACACGTCTCCCAACTGGACCAATGACAAGCTCAGCCACCATCAGAACTGTAAGGCACCCAGCACCCCCAACTCCCTCACTTCAGCATCTGCGACGCCTGTACCCTGAGGTCCCCTGCTCTCGGGCCCCTCTGCTCCCTTCCCTGGGACAGCCAGAGTCCTACCTGCTCTGGGAGCCACTTCGGCCTCTCTTCTGGGGTCCTGGTCTTGGGCTTGAAGCCTCTCTGGGGGTCTCCGGGGTGCTTGGCCTCGGGAGGGAGGTTCAGTGACTTGGGCCTCGCCTCGTGCCTGCTGGGGCTGCAGCTGGCCTTGATGGGTGGGCAGGCCTCTGCAGAGTCCCCAGGCCCCGGCTCAGGCCCATGCTCGGGACTGGCCTCACTGGCACTGGTGATGCTGGTCATGCTCAGACTCATCTTGATCTCTGCCACTATCTGGTCGATGTCCTCCTCCTGGTCCTCCAAGTCCCCATCCCCGCGCCTCAGGCGGTAGGGGGAGGTGCCCGTGTTCCCGTTGGCCTCCTCGGGGTAGTAGTCCTGGTAGCCCTCTTTGCTGGGACAGTAGTGACCGTCTTCTTCCTGGTCGTGGGCCTCAAGGACAGACGGCTCATCCTCCGGGATGGGCAGTTGGCCATCCGGGTAGTCCTGGCTGCCTTCAGCCTCGTGGCCATGGGGGTGTGGGCCCGCGGAGTCCGTCCACTCCTCCACCGCCTCCTGGCACTCGTCAGTGTCCACGGGGTGCGCGCCGTGAGCCAGGTACTCCTCCCCATTGCAGTCCATGCCCTCCAAGTAGCTATCGTCCTCAGGGCAGTAGCGGATGTAGTAGGTGATGCCCTCCTCCTCCTCAGGGAGGCCCTCGTCATAGTCCTCCTCCTCGGAGGTGTTGTTCACATAGTCAGAACTGGAGTCCCCATCAGGGCTATGGTTGTGGCACTCCTGTTCCTCGGGCGTGGGGCTCTCTGGCCGCAGGGCAGCCAGCTCCAGGCCCTCGGGCACATAGCCCTCCAAGGGCAGCTCCATGTCCTCACTCTCGGGCTCCTGGCTGTGGGGGACAGGACCCGGTCTCACCCTATGGTCCAACATGCCGCTCCCCGCGTTCTCACGCTTCCGGTGGGCCATGGCGGGTGCTCATGCGGCCATCATCACCCAGAGGCAGCCACTGTGGGGAGGAACATTGGGAAGGACAGAGTCAAAACTCCACAAAGCCCAGCCACGTGTGGGGCCACTTCACCACAGCACCTCCCACCACGTTCTCCCGCAGCAATGTGAATGCACATTCATTCAAACAATGTGCCATCCCCACCCCGGCTGACTCATCATCAGAACAACATGCATCCACACCAAGAAGAATGAGGGCACACGGAGCTCCAGGAAAAGCAGTCAAGGGAGGCACCGGCAACTCGCCAGGATACCTGCCTCTCCCCAAGAACCCACCGGCTCCTTCCTGACTTCTCACTCAATTTGGGTAGCCCAGGTGACCAAGACAAATGGTCATAAGATCGGGTTGTTTGCTCTCAAGAAGAAAACGAGCAGCTTTCATTAAGAAGACATAATGAGGACTGATGAGGAGGGATGTTAACTCTTCCCAATCTAAATCCATGGCCCCTCAAAGACTAACTTGGGTCCCTTCCCCTTCAGGCTTATCCCATCCTCTCCCTCCTCTTTCCCTTCAAACCGAACAATGCTTGCAGAGGAAGTGGATGTGCAGGAACCATCCCGGCTGAGCAATGTGCAGGAAAGCTCAACACAAGTCCCCAGCATGGTAGGCTGGAGGGCTCAAGAGAGGGGACAGCACTGCTTGGCCATGGTGGGAAGAGGACAAAGGGTGCAGCTGCAGCCTGCAGGTATCATGGGGTGACAGGGCAGCTGCAGAGACCTGGCAGGCCAAACTGGGAGAGGGCCTGGACCCCGTGCCCCGGACTCTGCACTCTATCCCCCAAACCACACTGCTATGGCTTTAATATGCCCCCCAAAGTTCATGTGTTGAAGACTTAATCCCTAATGCAACAGTGTTGAGAGGTGGGACCTTTAAGAGGTGATCAGGTCATGAGGGCTGTGCTCTCATGAATGGATTAACGTCTCTATCTTGGGAGGAAGTTCTTTATTGTGAGAGTGGGTTTGTTATAAAAGTGAGTTCAGCTCTCTCCTGCTTTCTCTCTCACTCTCCCTCACCTTCTCACCTTCTGCCTTGGGATGACACAGCAAGAAGGCCCTTTACCAGATGCTGACACCTTGACCTTGGACTTCCCAGCCTCCAGAACTGTCAAAAACAAATCTCCATTCTTTATATAATCACCCAGTCTCAGGTATTCTGTTATAGCAACAGAAAACAGACTAAGACATGTGCAGAGTCACTGAGCAATTATCAACATTTTTTCTTTTAGCCCTGTCTCTCTAGGCCTGGCATGGGGACAGAGGCTAGAGGCAGGGAGATGACTGAAAAGGTTACTCTATCCGCTAGGGGAAAGCAAGGGGCTAGCATCAGGAAAATGGCACAGAGGACGTCCAAAAGTTTGCTTAACGTT